AGTCAGGGAACTAAGATCCTGCAAGTTGCAGGATGCAGCCAAAACAAAACAAAAACAAAAAGACCATATGTTGTAAGGTCTCATTTATACAGTGTCCAGAACAGGCATATCTACAGAGACACAAGTAGATTAGTGACTGGAGGGGGCTGGGGGTATGTGGGGATGGGGAATGACTGCTAACAGGTACAAGGTTTCTTTGGGAAGTGATAAAAATTAAATTATTGAAGTATATACTTTAAATGGGTGAAAATTATTGTCTATAAATTATATCTCCATGAAATTTTTTTTCAAAAAGTGCTCATACTCCAATTATAATAAAAGTTACATCAGAAAACTCAGACACATTTTTGGTGTTATCTCCAAATGACCCTAATTCAGGACAGAAATGCTGGAGGTTGACAAAGATTCAATAGCATTTCTATGACAACATTTTCCTGGATCAAAATTTAAGTGGCTAGACATGGAAACTAGATATGACGTAAGTTTTGGTTTATCCTGCATCTTGTCCTTGGAAAGATGTGTAATGGGTTAGCAATGTTGAAATGCCTTATAAAAGGAAGCTCTCTGGTGGAGGTTCAGAAAGGCTGCCTACTGGTGGTAGGATTGCGGCAGACAGCCCTACAAGTTACGTCACCTCCTATGCTTGTACTGACCACTGGACACCTGGCTTTCTGAATTCCAGAAAAGTCAACAAACAATGAGATAGCATTCAACTCCTCACCTGGAACTCTTATATATTGATGGTGGGAATAAAAAAGGGTACAAGCACCGTGGACAACAGTTTGGTGATTTCTTGTAAAATTAAACACATACTTCCCAAATGACCCAGCAGTCCCAAGCCTAGGTATTTGCCCAGGTGAAATGACAACTCAAGTTCACACAAAAACTTGTACGAGGGACTTCCCTGGTGGTCCAGTGGGTAAGACTCCATGCTCCCAATGCAGGGGGCCTGGGTTCGATCCCTGGCCAGGGAACTAGATCCCGCATGCATGCTGCAACTAAGAAGTCTGCACGCCACAACTAAGACCCAGCGCAGCCAAAATAAACTATAAATAAATAAATAAATGAAAGTAAATTAAAAAAAAAAAACTTGCATGAAAGTGTTTACCGCAGCATTATGCATAATTACCAAAACTGGAAACAACTCAAATTTCCCTCAAATGAGAAGCAGATAAATCGTGATACAACTAGATGACAGGATACCTTTCAGATGTAAGAAGCAATGAGCTACGATACACACAGCACTGTGGATTAATTGTAAATGCACTACACTAAATGAACAAAGTCAGGCTCATAGGCTTCCCCCAAATGATTATGTGTATACGGCATTCTAGAAAAGTCAAAACGATAGGGAAATAACATGGATAAGTGGTTGCCAAGGGCTGGGGGTGGCAAGGACCGACTATAAAAGGGGCCTGCAAGAGATTGCTGCGTGATGGAAATGTTCTATTTCTTGATTGTGCTGGTACAGTTGTGATCACACAATTGTATGTATTTGTCAAAACTCATAGAACCATATACACACCCAAAACAAGGGTGAATTTCAGTATATCTAAGTTATACCTTAATTTTTTTTTAAAATGAAAAACTAGTTCCCCAAATGTCTACACCTCCTCCTTGTAGACTATTAAATGGGTGTGGTACTGGCTGATTTTTCAACTTTCCACTCCCCAAAATGTAAATTATAGGAGGATAATGACATAAACAGGGAATACAAAACATGAGATAGTAATTCCAAACTATACAAACAGATCAGTAAACTCCAAGAATCTGGATGCATATACCACCTAAGGGCTTTATTGACAGGTTCATTCCATCTCCTTTAAATGCTTAATTTATTCACATAATAGAAATAGAGGCTATGAAAAGATTGTTTCAACTTTAGTTATTCTAAATAATTTAAACTATCTAGTTTCAAAAATTATATAAGGTAGCTTTTCCCTCCTTGATGCTTTCACCTCTGCATCAAAGTTTGTT